AGGAAGACCTGGACACTTGTCGCAACAGAAGGTAAAAACACTCTCCTTCTCACATTACTGATATTTCTTTGTTTCCGTGTATACATATATACTGTACATATATGTGTTTCTCTGTACATAATATAAATTATATATTATAAATATATATGTATAAATATATTTATGTAAATATATGTATGTGCGAGTCTATATAAATATACTATATATATATACACATACATATACGGTACATATATGTATGTGTAAAAATAAAAATGTTTGTGTGTCTGTGTATGTACATGTACTGTATATTCCACGTCATTATTTCATATGCATCTCTGAGAACTGAGGAGAGTGATTTGATCTTAAACAGGTAATTCCGGGACATCCACAGCTTGACCTCAGAGCAGGACGTGAAGGATTTGACCTCCTAATCAAATGTGAGAATCCTGACCAGTAAGACATACATGTCAGACCACTGGACCACTTATGTTTGGTGTGATGTGGTTTTATTTATTCATGGTCATTTTACATTTTTTGTTTTTTTATTAATGTATTTCTTTGATGATGTCAACCTGTTTTATTCATTATGTTTGATTGACATCTTTTTTTACAATTAGCTCGACCCACAAATCACAATGCATTGTTTAAATAAAACACTTTTATCATTTTCTTTGGTCTTTTTTTTTTTAAAACTTGATTTCCGTCCTTCACCATAATGATTCTCTTCACAAAGGAACTCATGCTTTTGCCTTTGTTTCTGTGTGACCACATCTTGCATGTTGTAAGCCATTAGCTGTAACTCGTGTAACTTAACACTACAGTCAGGGACCTTGAATTCCCATTACTATTTAACATTGCCGTTGTGCTCAAGCCCTCATTTGAACTCTAAAAAGTGGTTGGGGGTTTGTGGTTGGTTCAGATAAAGAGCTCGGCTCGGAGAGTGTTTGAACCTCCGGCCAAACACTACAGTCCTTGGCCTCGCAGTTTCTGCCTCTGCCACCGCTTTGTGTTTTACCATCGGCAACGTTCAAACGCGAGCTGAATCAATCAGCCTGTGGAATTCATGAACTCGCCTCTCTGCGCTCATTTCATTTGGCAGTTTATTAGGAACACCTAGTTAGATCTAATACGGCCGAAGACGGCACAGTTGCACAAGCGCTCGTCTCCGTGGCAGATTTATTGACCCGTGTTTGTTCAGCGTGATTGTCTGTGATGTGGTTGAGCGGCTTGTATCGTGCAGCAAGGTGTGTGCAGCTAGCTATTTTGTCCATCCAATTCGAATCAACGAGGGTATGTAAAACAACACGCACACACCTGTGTGTACAACACAAGGAGTTCAAACACACCACAACGATCCAGCAGGTCAATCAACACCTCCTTAGACCAGTTTGGAAAAAAAAGAGAAAAAACTCGTGCTTCTATCAGAGGTTTGTTAAGGACAGTTATATAAGATCATGTGTTCCTAATAAACTGGCTGACTTTATGAATCTCTCAGGGTTTTTCTAAGGCTAAGGAAGATGTATGATGATAACATTTGGCGGACCAAGACGAGGATTAACAATGAGCTCTCCTTTAGTTGTTTTTGTGTCTCTGGAAGCTGAGGAATGTATGAAAGGGAATACTGATCATTTAAAGTATTCTTTTTTTATTATTATTCTTTTCCTCAAAAAAGGCTTTGCAGCTATTATAAAATTCCAGGATCACATTCGGTTTCAAATAGTTTCCTACGAATTGCTTTAATTTCGCACCTCAGGTCTGCACACTTCCATGTGTTCCTATTGTCCGTGACCTGTTTTGCTTTCTCCAAAAGAAACACTGCAGCCTGTCTGTATTTATTTGATGTGCTGATTCTGCTGCATGGGCTGATAGGAAGAAAGAGACAGAAGAAACAAAAAAAAAAGAAGAAGAAATAAGAGAGCTCTGTCAGATCGACATCTGAGAAACTGGAATTTTCTCTTTCAGCACAAAACCTTGGCGGAGGTGCCAAGTCCGCTTATTGTAAGCGACTTTGGGCTTGTTTTTTCTGTTAATTCACTCGAAAATTCCAAAGGCTCTTGTTTGAGGGGTTATTAAGGAAGTGTAGTTGCTTATTTTGAGAAGGATTCCAGAATATTTCCAAAATAAAATGCCCTAAATGAATGCAAGTTTTGTGGCAGCCACCTAGAGTCCAGTAAAGACAGTCGTCCTTAAAACACACACTGTAAAGCTTGACACTGGTTGTGGATGGATATTGTTTAAACAGAGGTACATTGCGTTCCAGCCGGTTCACACCCAGGCACCGTTCTTGTTTAACTTCTCCTTTAATCTGTGTTATTACCCTAACTAGTTTCGCTCTAATTGATCGTCTGTTCCCGAAATAGCCTCCATAATTGTGCTTGTGTAAATACTAACCACCGATGTCATTTCCACACCGCTGATGTGGCCCCATTAAAGATCAAAGGCCTCTCTTCCTCTGGGTTATCTCCACATCAGACGGTGGATTGTGGTGTGACAACAGTAAAAAGGCCAGTCAGGAAACTCCAAAGGCCGCGTTTCATCAACTCTAATCCCTGCCTGGCCCTGGTGACAAAGGCTGATGTGAAATCTGGCCAAATTAACTGTTTCAGCTCAGATTTTCAAATACAAATTAAAGTGTTTCTCAACTGGTAGGTCAGGGGACCATTTTAGCTGAGGCCAAAATCATCAGTCTCACTTATTGCCACTTCCTAACAGTAGGTGGCAATAATAGCCCCGTAGTGCGATTTCACATCATGCAAACTCTATTTACATATGCTAATTTACATGGCTAAGCACAGGTACAACACACAGGTGGCAGTATTGCAACTTGAAGAATGTTAGAAGAATATACAGTATATACTATATTTAAGGTGACCAAATACTGTAGGTACGTCTTTAATACATAACACAATGTCAACGTTGGAGACAGCATTACAGTTGTTTGTGGAATTGCTCGCTAACCTTGGTATTGACATCCATCACAGGCCACATGTGGGAGGTTTGCAGACGAGAAGTGGCCCACGGGCCTGGAGTTGAGAGCCCCGACGTAACATGTCAACAGGGGACCTACATACAGTGAACTGTACCAATATGTCTGTAAACTGGTACAAACACATTAATCCAGTGGAACTGTTTTAAAACACAGAGGCAACTTGAAAAATCGGGTTTCTCTCTGCACCGAGCCAGTGTTTTATTCATGCAACATGCTGCCGGTGTTTTCGAGGCCATGAATTCAAAGGAGTAAATTGTCAAACAGGGTAATGTGAGGTTACTCACTGCCTTTCTTCTCTGCCTCTAACAGGATTTACGCACATGACGTGTTTGGTTCCGAGCGCCGGTACAGGGCCTCTGGGATCGACTGTACATCAGCATGTGATTGACAAAAATCATTATACGTGTGTGTGTGTGTGTGTGTGTGTGTGTGTATGAGCTGTGTCACTGCATCTTTTTATAGAACTGTATTTGGAGCCAGACCCAAGGAAGCCTGTGTTTGGCTGCTGTACGCTGCTTGCATAAATAAACCTGTTTATCACCAACACTTCACACACATCGCACTCAACGCATTCAACACATTTAGGCTATTTTTTTTCTTCTGTCCTCCGTCATGTTTCCTGCATCAACTGTCTCTGTGTCTCTCCCTCTCCCTCTCTCTCTCCTGGCTTGTCTTCTTCTGTCTTTATTGATGACGATATTTATGGAAATCTTTTTTGTCCTCGGCCCTGTCACTCAAACACAACGTTAGCTATGAAAAGGGGTGTGCAGCTGCGCGTTAGAGGCGATGCAGCCTTCAGAGAGGAGGGCACGGCGGGCTGCGTCTGTGCATCTGGGTCATGAATCTGCCGGTGTGGGGCGAGCAGGACTGGAACTGATGCAGTCGACTGAGTGTGGGAGGTTTGTCTTCATCTCTGTGTCTGTGTCTGGCTATGGCACTCTCTTTCATCTCTCACATCCTCCTCACTTGTTTATGGAAAAAAAAGATTATGCAGTGTGATTGGTCAGTGGAAGAGACAAACTGCTGCAGTTCAACATCTTTCTGTTGCTGTTTTCACACAGTGAGAAACTTTAGAACGTTCACCCTAAACAGGGATCAATAAATATATCTGTCTGTGATGTCTCTGTCCTCTTTAAGTGAACATCAGCTGTGTACTTTTGTACTTCAGGTCACTGCAGGTGATTGAGTGAGTATGTCGTAGTAACCATTGAATACAAGTATTGTGGATGAAGAAATAGTGAGAGAGGCCACAGTCCAGGCTGACTCTGACTCAGGACCTGTTGAATTCACTGCTGTCCTGCCACACAGAGCTGCTGTGAAGTGTCTGCCTGGTGCTCCTGTCTGAGCAGCGGAGGAAATGAAAGTCATTACAGTCTGTTTTGGAGTGAGCGTCATGGCCCAAACGGGATTAGACAGTGGATCCGACATTGTTTCTATACGTTGGTAGACTTAAAAGTGAAGCGAAAAATGGGATTAAAACGAGTGGAAAAAAAAACAATAAATAACCTCCAACTCTCTTTTCTTTCTTCCTTTACTTCCCTCCGCCGCCATTTCTTCTTCACCTACTACCTTCTACCTTCGTCTTCAACCCTCTTTGATACATGTCATCTGACTGCTACTGAGAATATCTTCAAGAATCCGTCGTTGTAGGTTCAACATCGATGTGATGTGAAACCTCAAGAGTTTCCCTTAGAGGAGCAGAGTATTCTTATACAGTCTGTCATTACAATACAGAGAGTATTCTTATACAGTCTGTCATTACCATACAGTATAGTATATTTGTACTTTATCCACTTACACCAGGCAGTAGAAACAGAGATATTTCATCTGCGTCGTTGATAGCGTCATGTTATGACATCACTGTCGATACCGGA